CCCGGCCGCCTGCTAGCGCGGCCTCGCCGCCCTCTACTACCGCGGCCCCGGCCGCCTGCTTGCACGGCCCCGCCGCCTGCTACGACCGCGGCGCCAGCCGCCTGTTCGACCGAGGCCCCGCCGCCTACTACCGTAGGGGCCCCGGCCGTCTTCTCGCGCGGCCCCGCCGCCCACCTACTACCGCGGCCCCAGCCGCCTGCTCGCACGGCCCCGCCGCCTGCTACGACCGCGGCCTCCCAGCCCACTAGGCTGCGGCCGCCGCCTGCTCAACCGCGGCTTCGCCGCCCACTACGCATCGGCCCCGCCGTCCACCTGTAGCGACTGTGCGGGCGGACCTCTGAGCAGCTTTGCCGCCGAGCCGCCCGGGAGCCGAGCCGCCCTGCAGCCGAGCCGCCCGGGAGCCGAGCCGCCCTGCACCCAAGCAGCCCTGTCGCCGAGCCGCCCGGGAGCCGAGCCGCCCTGCCCCCGAGCTGCCCTGCCACCGAGCCGCCCGGGAGCCGAGCCGCTGTGCACCCGAGCCGCCCGGTCGCCGAGCTGCCTTTCTGTCGAGCTACGCGACCTGCCCTGCCTGGTGAGCACAGTCCCACTGTCACTGCGTGCTCTCCCCCCTACTGCTTGCACTGCTTCACAATCGTCGTCATGGCTACCCCTAGTGTCCTAGCTTTTGATGCTGAGGGTCGCGCCATTGATTTTGAGGTCTGGCTAGACGACCTGCAGCTGTTCTTAAAGTGCGACAGAGCTGACGACCTTTCTCTCTTTGACCTCACCTCTGGCGCCTCTCCTGCTCCTGCTACTGATGCTGATCCCGCTGTCCGCTCTAAGTGGGCCACCCGCGATGCTGCTGCACGTCTTGCTGTGCGTCGCCACCTTCCTACCTCTGAGCGTGCGCACTTCAGTCAGTACAAGAGTGCTCAGACCTTGTACGACGCTGTAGTTGCGCGCTACTCCTCCCCTGCCACTGCTGCACTGAGCCGTCTCATGCTTCCCTACCTCTTTCCTGACCTCTCTGCCTTTCCCACTGTCGCTGACCTCATTACGCATCTCCGCACTAGTGACACTCGCTACCGCGCCGCCCTTCCTGCTGAGTTCTGCGCTAAGAACCCCCCCCCATGTACATCGCTCTCTACTACGTAGTCGCGCGCCTCCCTGACTCCCTTCGAGTCGTCAGGGACCACTTTCTCGCAGTCTGCCCCACCACGCTCACCGTCGACCTCCTCGAGAAGGCCCTCCTCGCAGCGGAGAAGAGCATAGTCGCTGTAGGTGCTTCTCGTGGTGACCCTCGCACCCCCATCTTTGAGGGGTGCTCTCCTTCCCCCTTGCTGCCCTCTGTTGCCTCTGCTGCTGCTGCCGACCTGCTTGGTCTTGAGTCGGTCGGCGCGGCGTCTGCCCCTAGTGGGAGACGTCGCTCCAGCAAGGGCAAGGGGGGCAAGGGCGCGGGTGGAGCTGGAGGGGGCGGTGGCGGTGGCGGCGGTGGCGGCGGAGGGAGTGGGGGTGGCGGCGGGACTAGTGGCGGGAGTGGTGGTGGTGGTGGCAGCAGCGGCGGAGACGGTGGTGGTGGTGCCAGCGGTGGTGGTGGAGGCAGCGGCGGAGGTGGAGGCGGCGGAGGTGGAGGCGGTGGAGGCGGCAGCGGAGGCGGCGGTGGTGGTGGAGGAGGTGGAGCTGGTCGAGGTGGTACCCAGCAGCGTAGCGGCGGTGGTGGTGGCCAGCGCTCGTAGCGGCAGCAGCAGCAGCGCTCTCGGGACATCCCTTCGCCTCAGCAGCTTCGTGAGTGGTACGCTGGGCGTCAGAGGGGTGGGGGTACTGGTCCCTGCACCTACGTTCTTCGTTCCGGCGACCGCGCGGGTGAGCAGTGTGGGGGTGCCCACGCCACCCAGCGCTGCTTTGGCCGCCTGACGGACGCCTGGCGTCAGCAGTTCTCTGGGGCTAGTGAGATCCCTCGCAGGGATGAGCTTCTCAGGGCTGGTGTAGCGATCTTTGATCTTGATTTTGATGCTATCCTTACTGCTATGTATGTTGTGGATTATAGTGAGGAGAATGAGGGTTACCGTTGTTTCCAGCCCGACCCGGGCATTGGTACTGCTGCGCTAGATGCTTGTGAGGCTGCTGCTCTAGGTGCCAGTGCATCTGCGCTCTCAGGTACTGGTGAGACTGCGCTCTCAGGTACTGGGTCGTCCTCGTCCTCCCTCACTTTCACACTTGACTCCGGAGCTTCTCGCTCCTTCTTTCGAGACCGCACTACCCTTACGCCGCTCGGCCGACCGGTTGCAGTCTCCCTTGCTGACCCCTCTGGAGGTCCTGTCCTGTCTCACTTCTCCACTGTCCTCCCGTGTCCGGCTGCCCCTTCGGGCACCCTGTCGGGTCTGTACCTTCCCTCGTTCTCCACGAACTTGGTGAGTGGAGCGGACCTGCAGGATGGGGGTGTTCACCAGTTCACTCCTGCGAGTCAGCGGGTGACCCACTGCACGGAGGCACGCACAGGCCGACACCTGGCCACGTTCTCGCGTCGGCCGGGGTCGAGTCTCTACACCCTGACCGTTGAGTCTCCTCCTGTCCCTGCGTCTGGTCAGGTGGCTGCGTCGGGTCAGGTACTTGCTGCTGCGTCCCGGTCAGGTCCTGAGTCTGCCCCCTGTTCTTGTCGCCTCCTGTCTCACGAGACTCTTCTGTGGCACCACCGTCTTGGCCACCCCTCCTTGCCCCGTCTTCGGAGCATGGCTTCCCGTGTCCTTGTCTCTGGTCTTCCCCAGTCTCTCCCTCCTCTCCCCTCCGGGCAAGGACCTTCCTGTGTCCCCTGTGTCGAGGGTCGCCTCCGGGCTACTCCTCACTCCTCCCACTTCCCCCCGACAGAGGCTCCCCTGCAGACGCTTCACATGGATGTGTGGGGCCCAGCCCCCGTCCGTGGGCAGGGTTACGAGCGCTACTTCCTGTTGGTGGTTGACTACTACTCGCGTTACACCACAGTCCTCCCCTTGCGCAGCAAGGGTGCGGTCACTGAGGTGCTGATTGACTGGATCCGCGAGGCTCGTCTCCAGCTCAGGAAGAGCTTCGGCTCGGACTTTCCTGTTCTGCGTCTGCACTCGGACAGAGGCGGAGAGTTCTCTTCTCGCCTTCTGCGGGACTACTGTCGTGCACGGGGGATCCGCCAGACCTTCACGCTTCCGGACTCACCACAGCAAAATGGGATTGCTGAGCGCCGCATTGGCATGGTCATGGATGTCGCTCGTACGTCCATGATGCATGCGGCTGCCCCCCATTTTCTGTGGCCGTTTGCAGTGAGGTACGCGGCGCATCAGCTCAACCTTCACCCCCGGGTCTCTCGGCCTGCGATGTCCCCAGCCTTGCTGTGGACGGGGAAGGTTGGCGATGCGTCTGTGTTCCGTGTCTGGGGATCTCGGGCGTTTGTCCGCGACTTGTCTGCGGACAAGCTGTCCCCTCGTGCTGCTCCCTGTGTCTTCCTTGGCTTCCCCACTGACGCCCCAAGGTGGCAGTTTTACCACCCCTCCTCTCGTCGTGTTCTGTCCTCCCAGGATGTCACGTTCGACGAGTCAGTCCCCTTCTACCGTCTCTTCCCCTACCGCACTCCTTCCCTCCCCCCTCCCCCGGACTTCCTTGTGCCGGTTCCCCCCCCGGTAGACCCCCTCCCCCCTCAGGTTCCTGCCCCCTCAGGTGTGTCCCAGGTAGACGCCGTTGACCCGGTCGAGGTTACTGGTGACTCTGGTGCTGCTGCGGGTGCTGAGCCTGGGGGTGCTGACTCTGGAGGTGCTGTGCGCGGGGGTGCTGAGCCTGGGGGTGCTACTGCTGGGGGTGCTGGGCCTGAGGGTGCTACTGCGGAGGGTGCGGAGCCTGGGGGTGCTGAGCCGGGGGGTGCTGTGCCTGGGGGTGCGGGGTCTGGGGGTGCTGGGTCGGGAGCTACTGAGCCTGGAGGTGCTGAGCTGGGAGCTGCTGAGCCTGGGGGTGCTGCGTCTGGAGCTGCTGAGCCTGGGGTTTCTCCTGCTGCTGCGTCTCGCCGGGAGCCCCTCTCTCCACAGGAGCTGCGCGAGTGGTTCGCTCGCCGCTGGAGGCGTGCTGCTGAGTCTGGAGGTGCTGCTGGAGCTGGTGCTGGAGCTTCTTTGACCGTTGTGGGTGCGGGTGCTGCCGGTCCTGGAGCTGGAGCTGCTGAGGGAGCTGGTGCTGAGCCTACTGCTGTTGGTCCTGCCACTGGAGGTGTGGGTGGCGCTGGTGCTGTCGCTGAGGGTGCTGGTGCAGACCCTGCTGCGTCTGGAGCTGCCGCGCGGCCTCGGCCGTACTTCGTTCCGCTTTTGCAGCAGGTTCTTGGTCTTTCTCCTCCGGTAGAGGGTCCACCGCCTGTCCAGTCGCAGTCCCTGCTGGAGCCTTCCTCTCCACTGCCTGCTCCCTCTCCTTACACTGGTCCTACTGGAGGTCTTGCTGAGCGTCGTGAGCCTGCGTCTCGTCCCGCGTCGCTTGTTCGTGCTGCTCGCGCTAGTGGTCGCAGTTTGCGTCAGCGTCCTCCTCCTGTCCCTGGCACGCACCGGATGTCTCTGCGTCCGTCCACTGCTCCTCTGCGTGCCCCTTTGCCTTCTCCTCCTGAGTCCTCTCTTCCTGCGCTTGCCGACCCTGAGTCGGACTCTCTTCGTGCTGCCAGTCCTACTGTCACGCGTCTGCTTGCTACTGTCGTCACTGACCCCTCTTTTGAGTCCACTGCTGCGTCTGCTCTAGTCGCTGAGCTCGTCGACTTTGCTGCTCGCTGTCGTCTCGACTACGCTGCTAGTCTTGTTGCTGAGTCTGCGTCTGTCTGTCCTTCCTCCGTCGGGGGTGAGTGTGCTCTTAGCACGGACGTCCTAGAGGACAGGCAGGAGGAGTTACAGTGTCTAGCGGCTGCTTCACCTCATCTCGCGTCTGTACTGCTTGCCCCTGAGGGAGACCCGGATGCACTAGACATCCCGACTCCGCGTTCTTACGCGGAGGCCGTAGAGGGTCCCTACTCCTCTCAGTGGCAGGCAGCTATGGATGCAGAGATGGCTTCCTGGAAGTCCACAGGCACCTACGTTGACGCGGTTCCCCCTCCTGGGGCGAACATCGTCAGTGGCATGTGGATCTTCAGGGTGAAGCGGCCGCCGGGCTCTCCACCTGTCTTCAAGGCACGGTACGTTGCTCGTGGCTTCAGTCAGCGGCATGGAGTTGACTACTTTCAGACCTTCTCTCCCACCCCGAAGATGACTACTCTTCGGGTGCTGCTGCACATAGCTGCTCAGCGCGACTACGAGCTTCACTCTCTCGACTTCAGCACTGCGTTCTTGCAGGGTAGCCTGCACGAGGAGATCTGGCTTCCCCGTCCACCTGGCTTTACTGGGACTTTCCCTCCTGGCACCCAGTGGAGCCTCCGACGGCCAGTCTACGGTCTCCGCCAGGCACCGCGTGAGTGGCACGACACACTGAGGACTACGCTTGCGGCTCTTGGGTTTGCTCCTTCTACTGCTGACCCGTCGCTGTTTCTTCGCACCGACACTTCCCTGCCGCCGTTCTACATCCTCGTGTACGTCGACGACTTGGTCTTTGCCACAGCAGACACTGCTGGACTCGCCTACGTGAAGTCCGAGCTGCTGAAGAGACACACGTGCACAGACCTCGGTGAACTGCGCAGCTACCTTGGCTTGCAGATCACTCGGGACAGAGCACGCCGCACCATTACCTTGACTCAGTCACACATGGTGCAGCAGGTCCTTCAGCGCTTCGGCTTCACGTACTCCTCGCCTCAGGCCACTCCTCTGCCTACTCGCCACTCACTCTCAGCTCTGCCTTTGGATGAGTCCGTAGAGTCGAGTGGTCCGTATGCAGAGCTTGTTGGCTGCCTCATGTACCTGATGACCTGCACACGACCTGACCTTGCATACCCTCTGAGCATTCTTGCACGCTATGTTGCTCCTGGGAGACACAGACCGGAGCACATGGCTGCAGCGAAGAGGGTATTGCGTTACCTGTGCAGTACGTCGGGCATGGGGCTAGTGCTTGGAGGGCGGAGTCCAGTGGTCCTTACCGGCCACGCGGACGCTTCTTGGGCTGACGACCAGGCTACGCAGCGGTCGTCACAGGGTTACACCTTCAGCCTTGGTTCCGGCTCTGTCTCGTGGCGGTCTACTCGCTCGTCTTCAGTTCTCGGCTCCAGTTGTGAGGCTGAGATCTACGCCGGGGCCATGGCTGCACAGGAGCTTCGCTGGCTCACCTACCTGCTGACTGACCTTGGAGAGCCGCCTCGTTCTCCTCCAGTGCTGTACGTAGACAACAAGGCTATGCTGGCCTTGTGTCGAGAGCAGCGCTTGGAGCACAGAACGAAGCACATTGCTCTCCGCTACTTCCTTGCTCGTGAGCTGCAGCAGCGTGGTCAGTTGCGACTTGCGTACGTGGCCTCTGAGGCCAACACTGCTGATGTGTTCACCAAGGCACTCGCGCCTTGTGACCATCAGCGCTTTTGCACCCAGTTGGGTCTTGTGCCTGTCTTGCCTCACTTGCTCTCCTCTTGACTTCACTTGTACTGTGACATATATATATGCCTGCTCTTGTTTGTCTAGTTTTATATATATGTCTGTACTCCTGCATGTGAACTGGCCTCTGGCCCTACTCTTGTGCTCGGACTGTGTGGTGACTTTGTGATCCACCCTGAGCTTGCTTTGCTTTGCTTGACTGGTCTTGTGACCCCTTGTTCTCCCCCACTTTGCCTATGGGGGTGTGTCAGATCTATATGACATAGTTGCTGTAGGCTATAGTGGGGTAGCACATATGGGGTACAGGGTTTCTAGGGCTGTATTTGTACCCAATCTTTCCTTAGTCATTTCATTCCTGCTTACTCATTTCACAGTCCAGAGAAGGATGAAGGCTTTGAGGAGCCAGCAGCTGTGGGGAAGGTGACCCTACACCCCCTGGACTATTGGGTGATTGATAGTGGCGCTACCTATAGCATGACACCTCGCCCGGACTTGCTCACCGAACTCGAGCCGTCACCGATGAAGCATGTCACATCGGCTTTGGGGCAGCGAGCAGAGGTGAAAGGCATGGGGAAGGCCATGTTCAAGGGGCTGCACAAGCAGAATGGAGGGAGGAGATGCTGACCCCTTGCACGACGTCGGACCACAGGTTGCAAAGCGGAACAGCACTTCCGCGCATCCCAATCTTGGAGAAAGGGGGGGTCATTTCGCTGAAGCAGATGCGGAGTTTATGGAAGGGGAGGTGCGGGCAGTCGCATCGCATACTGCGATGGGCAGGGCAGTGGAGCGGATCGATCAACTGGAAAAAAAAAAATTGGGCATCAGAGAATCACTCTTCACCCCAAGCAGACCGAGAGATGTTCTCACGCGGGTGTACAACTTCAACCTTCAAGTGGGTGAATGGCTGGCTTTCCTAAGCGACAAGCCCATGTGTCCGCAGTGTAAAAGCGTGGAGACATTGGAGCACTGCCTCTTCGCCTGCCCAAAGATCCAAAGCGTGATCATTGCGCTGAAACGGGCCCTCCGCATGTTGAACCCTCTCCGCACCACTGACTCGCTGGAAGATCAACTCTTTCACAAGGCGAGGACCTGCACGGCTTTCCCCGAGGCAACACTCATTGCGATAACACTGCATCAAATCTGGTTGGAAAGATGCGAGGCGGTTTTCCGGGGGCGCAAATTCCGTGCGCGCCGAGTCTTGAGAAGAGTCCTGTTGGCTTTCCTTCATCATGCGAGGGTCTACACAAAAGCACACTCGACAGCGTGGCAGAAGCGGAAGGATTCAGCACAGGCTGGCAACTTTCTCAAAGGGCTATTGGAGGAACAACGGATGCTGAGCAGGATACGGCTGGCAAGCGATAAGTAGTGGGTGTGGACCAGAGGTTTCGAGTCCATCTGGACCAATCCAATGACCGTCTACAACCCACCTTAGGCCCCTTGCTGAGCAGACAGCCTCTGCTCACTCACGCACGGTTATGACCGCTATTGAGTAGTATGCATTTATTTTCATGATGTATACTTTCAATAAATAAATTTAAAAAAAAAAAAAAAAAAAAAAAAACCTTGGCATTCTCAACACCAATCATAGGGAGCAAAGCACCTGAAGCGGCAGCCACAAACTTGATCTTTCCAGGAGGCTTTACCTCATCAATCAAATTTACCAGTGGGGTCATGTGACTTGTGCAACCTGAATCGATTACTCAGTGAGTGAGGGGGTGCATCACAACCTTCCCAACCGATCCCACATCACCCTCACTCCCTTTCACAACCTCAACCATGAGGAACCTCCCAGGGTCGGCTTTACCTTGTGCACCATCACCTTGTGCACCTGAACCTTGCACAGCACCACCTCGTGCACGTTCACCACTTGGCGGCTTCATGCCTGGAGGCGCCCATCCCTCAGGCCGGCTGAAACACTTGAACCATGGGTGTCCAGCCTTCTTGCAGTGCCAGTACGCACCCTCCATTCGGGTGCCCCCCCTACCTCCAGAGCTCCAATGCCCCTCATTATAGCCACCTCGGCCTCTCCCTCTGCCAAAGCCTCTCCCACGGCCTCGCCCTCTCCCTCCCCCTCTTCCTCTGCTGCCTCCTGCAGCTCCATACCCCTCAGCAGTTTTGTTGGCAGCACCACATCCAGTGTGGCGCCTATGGAAGTCCTCCTGCAGGATCTGTTGCCGTAGCCACTCAGGCGTCCACTTGTCCTGCTGAACGTTGAGGGTGGGGATAAGGTTGTCCCACAAATTGTCGAGCACCGAGATGATCTTGGTGCATTGCTGCATCTGCGACACATTGCTGCCCGCCGCTGTCATCCTCGCATAAGTGTCTTTGATCTTGTCCAAGACCGGCTTCACATCGTCTCCCGGTCGCATGGAGAGAGCAGCCAGCTCCTTCTCCAGCACAATCACCATTGGCAGCGTGTTGGGTTGAATCACATCCCGAAGTAGCTTCCACGCCTTTGGTTCCGAGTCATCGAGCTCCACCAAATCTTTGATGTGCTGGAACATGTCGTTGTTGACAGACTGGAGGATGAGGTCGTACAGCACCGCGCTCTTCTCAATCCACCGATCCCGAGCATCTCCTTTCTCGGGCACCTTCTCTTCTCCCATCGCAAGTTTCAACAGCTTGTAGCGCTTGAAGACGCTCCTCATCCGTCCGCTCCATTCCTCGTAGTTGGAGCCATCCAATGCCTCAATCTTGGATGGTGGCGGCTCACTCCTCTTCTCAGTTGTTTCGCCACTCCCTTGACTCATCTCCTCTGCTCCCAATCACAATTTTCAGCTCCCCCTTTGCTGTCCACACCAAAGTCCCACACAATTTCCACAAGTGTCGCGCCAACAAAATTTCGGCAGAGTTTCCCCTTAGCGGAAGTCACATGCAACCTCCAAAACTCCACTTAGGCACGCCCACAGGCCATGGTGGGTCTAGGAGGGTCTTCATACTTAAATAGACTCTCTACAAGGTCCTTAATCAACTCTGATACCACTTTTTTGAGGCTAAGGACGGAGTCTATGAAGCTTAGAGGCCGAAATATCACAAAATCGTTGGTCTCAATTTCTGGACAGAATCATCGCGCTCACAAGAAATGCTGTCGACGAAAAAAGCACAGTCACAACTTCACGAAACTCAAATATGTTGTAGCCCTAGACCGTGGCTACATCTCCCAATTTGAATCGTATCCAAAGGTGAAGTATTTCTCGAATTATGAATTTCGGCGCACAGGGGGGGTATGCTGCCATAGAAACTTAACTCAATCACAAAGTTCACACAATTTTCACACAAGGAAGTTGAAGTGGCAATTAACCAGGTGGGAGGGGAAGAGGAGGACGAGAAGGAAGGTCCCCAAGGAGTCCCCAACCAAGAAAACCCCATGCCACACAATTCCCCTCTCTCTAGGCAACCCAACTTTGACATTTGTCCATTTCCCAACCTCCACAATCCACCTCACCCAAATTGGCCACACTTGCCAACCTAATTTGGTTTCTACCAACCAGATGGCAGCATCTACAGTGATGGGGACGAATTTCCCAACCCCCAAAAGTCTGTACCACATATTGAGTCAACCCCACAACTTTTCATAGTCACCACAACCAACTATCAAAATCATACGAACTTCCAATGTTCGTAACTTTCTTGTTCGTGCTCCGATTGAAGTGATACTTGGTTCGTTGGAAGGCTCTTGAGCAAAGGAGTCACTTCATATATCTGCTCAAGCCAAATAAGATTCACACATACTCAGAAGAACCAAACCACATCAAACACAAATTCTTGCACAGCTCACACCACGCATGCAACGCATGAACATGTCATGGGAGGCAGACAGACGTGAATGCAAATGATAGCATCACATAACAAAGATGACGTATTTCTCGAGTTATCAATCTCGGCGCATTAGGGGGTAAGCTGCCATTGAAACTTAACTCAATCTCAATTATATCATAATTAACACACAAGAATGTTGGAGTTGCTAGAAACCAGGCAGGAGGGAAGAGAAGGACGAGAGGGTGTGAGAATAAGAACGAGGATGAATGAACTATGAACGAAGTGAGTACATATAGGAAACCCTAACTGGGTTGTACCCCCTATGGGATACCCCACTATAGCCTACACAACAGCATAAGCAATAATGTTCTGACACACCCCCATAGGCAAAGTGGGGGAGAACAAGGGGTCACAAGACCAGTCAAGCAAAGCAAAGCAAAGCTCAGGGTGGATCACAAAGTCACCACACATTCCGAGCACAAGTTCAAAGGCCAAAAGGCCAGTTCACATGCAAGATCACATAAATATATATAAGAGGCTAAGCAAGCAAGAGCAGGAGTATATATATGTGACAGTACAAGCAAGGTCAAGAAGTGAGCAAGTGAGGCAAGACAGGCACAAGACCTAGCTGAGTGCAGAAGCGCTGATGATCACAAGGCACAAGTGCCTTGGTGAACACATCAGCAGTGTTGGCCTCAGAGGCCACGTACGCAAGCCGCAACTGTCCACGCTGCTGTAGCTCACGAGCAAGGAAGTAGCGAAGAGCGATGTGCTTTGTTCTGTGCTCCAGTCTCTGCTCTCGACACAAGGCCAGTATGGCCTTGTTGTCTACGTACAGGACTGGAGGAGAACGAGGCACCTCGCCAAGGTCAGTCAGCAGGTAGGTGAGCCAGCGAAGCTCCTGTGCAGCCATGGCCCCGGCGTAGATCTCAGCCTCACAACTGGAGCCGAGAACAGAAGACGAGCGAGTAGCCCGCCACGAAACAGAGCCGGAACCAAGGCTGAAGGTGTAACCCTGTGACGACCGCTGCGTAGCCTGGTCGTCAGCCCAAGAAGCGTCCGCGTGCCCAGTGAGGACCACTGGACTCCGCCCTCCAAGCACTAGCCCCATGCCCGACGTACTGCACAAGTAGCGCAACACCCTCGTCGCTGCAGCCATGTGCTCTGGTCGGTGTCTCCCAGGTGCAACATAGCGTGCGAGAATGCTAAGAGGGTATGCAAGGTCAGGTCGTGTGCAGGTCATCAGGTACATGAGGCAGCCAACAAGCTCTGGGTACGGG